CAGGGTAGCCATGTACCACTATCATCCATCTAGTTAGGGAGGTTACTGCTGTGCCCTCATAGACGTACATGGTTAGTTCCATTGACAACCAACCTTTCCTTCAAAGAGCACACAATGCTGTGTATCCACATACATAGCCCTTTGTCCTTACAGTCTGTTGAGATAAGCGAGGCTGAATCCAGTTGTAAACTGCAACAAGAGTAGGCCCATTGAATCAATGCAGCTTACAAAGGAATTGACTCCACAAATTCACACTGATTCTGTGGACCTACTCTAGTGACTACTAAACGAGCCCAGGATTGCCCAGTGAGTTGAGTGGTTCAGCGAAGAGGTTAATATTGATCATCTTTTTCCACGCCAGAATACCATGTTGGCTCCCATGTGTCGTCTGTTGAGGTGGAACAGAGCTTCAGACAGTGTGGAAGGCATTTTCACCCTTCTGTTTTCTTTCCAGCACAATTTATTGTTTGTCATTCGTAATCATTCGTAAGCCTTTGGCTTGGAATTTTCTAAATGGTGTTGAATGATGGTTTATTATTTGTTGTCTCAAGATGTTGGCAAGAATGGTTGAGGGGGATGAAAGTCTGGATTCTTTTTAAAAACACACATGCATGCGTGTGCTGAATGGAAAGAACTTCAGCTGAACATAGATCGTAAGCTATCCCCTTGACAACAGACCAAATATTTGCTGAACAAAGTCACAATTACAGTTGCTGCTCTCCCATGGCCATCACAACCTCGGGTTTCTTATTTCTTTTCCTTTGCAGTCAAAACCTAATTCATTTTAGTATGTGGTATAGGTCAGAGTATGACCTTGTAGCAGAACACACCTCAAGCACTATCTGTAGCGGAGACATCAACCTTGGATGCATAAATATTTTCTGGCATGACACAGGTGCAAAAACGAGCAGATGTTCTGAAGGACTTCTGTAAACTTCTGCCCTTTGGGCCGTAGCTGGATGGCAGGCAGCCTTCCGACATGACTCAGGAGCAGTGCTGATAGAAAGGTTACTTTTTCTTTTGACATTCCATCAGCACTCCATCCCAAGTGGACACTGGCCATGTAGACTACTGGATCCTGGGGGTTGTAATTTTTAAAAAAAGTTACCCTTTCAATTCAAGCTGTGATCTAGATCTGGAAAGCCAGGAACGATGGAATAAGTGACCAGGCAGCCCAAAAGAATAAGCCAAGGTGAGGCATGAAAAGAATATTCTGTAAAGAGCCTCGTGGCACCGTGGTTCAACTGTAGTATCACAGTTTTGTATTGCAAAACTCTGCTCATGGTCAGCATTCAATGCCAACGGATCTGACAGCCAGATTGGTACACACACAAAAAAATGTTTTATCTTCTTGTGTATGTGACAAACTGTACTTGTACTCTTGTGTACTTGTACTCTTGCAGGGTAAGAATTAATTTTGCAGTTCCTTGATTTGTGGGCAAGAATTTAAAACACTAGCCAGAGCTTAGAACCATCTTTCTTTAATGAACCTCTCACATTACTCATTATTTTGCAACAGTCAGTTGTTTGATACAGTCCTTTTTGCTCTGTTGCAAAAATTAGTTACTGCAGTGTGCATTTTGAATACATTGCATTATGTCCTTCCAGAAGGATAAGAGGGAAATACACTCCAGCTCCCTTTAACAGCAAATTTTGATATTGTATCTTGAGAATTCTTTTCAAAATACAAAGGTTGAAACATTTTACATATTTTCCTTTCCACTTAAGAAAAAAAATTAAAAAGATACTTGTACCAAAAAGTAACTTTGTTGAAATTACTTTTAAACTGTAACTTAATCTCATCTTTGTTACCCAAAAGAGTAACTACTTGCAGGTAAATTTGGCCTTATCTGGATGGAACATTTTGCTAGAATAAATGAATTACAAACTGATTTCATTGTGTTTTGCCGGGGGGGGGGATGTTTTTGTTTTTTGGGCCATCGACATGCCCTGAGGCTTGTCTTGTTTAGTACAGGCTGTCCCTGTCTACTCTCAGGAGCAGGAGAGAATGTGAGATGTCCTAAGATGTACCAGAAAACTCTTGCTACCGTCTTCCCATAGAAGAGACATGTATGCCTTCAGAGGGAAGAGAACTTGCCTAGTGTTTCATGAACTAGTAAATTGATCTTGTAATTGCAGCTGCTTTTACATAAAAGAAAAAAATCAAAAAGATCTGTGTGGTCTTTACACAGCACAGCACAGGAGTAGGCAGCAACTTTATTTGTTGTTGTTGTTTAGTCATTAAGTAATGTCTGACTCTTCGTGACCCCGTGGATCAGAGCACGCCAGGCCCTCTTGTCTTCCACTGCCTCCCGGAGTTTGGTCAAATTCATGTTGGTCACTTCGATGACACTGTCCAACCATCTCATCCTCTGTCGTCCCCTTCTCCTCTTGCCTTCACACATCAGGGTCTCTTCCTGGGAGTCTTCTCTTCTCATGAGATGGCCAAAGTATTGGAGCCTCAGCTTCAGGATCTGTTCTTCCAGTGAGCACTCAGGGTTGATTTCCTTCAAAATGGATAGGTTTGTTCTCCTTGCCGTCCAGGGGACTCTCAAGAATATCCTCCAGCACCACCATTCGAAAGCATCTTTATTAGACTACTTTTAAAAAATAATAGAGTCTGCTAGCTTTTGTGGATCAAAGCCCACTTCTTCAGATATGTGCCGGTATCTTGCTATTAGTGCAGAGAATTTAGAGTCCCCAAAGTTCCTGGCAGATGGTGTGCCAGGCTTGTTTTTTTGATGTAAGTTGGAAAATATGCAGGCCGCATTGGAGGTGTGGTTTTCAAGTTACATCTCCAGAAGTTGTTGATTTGACATCGCATCCATGCTCCTCAATTCCCAGATGGAGGGCTCTGGGTTTATCAGGTTCCCCAACTGAACAGAGACTTGCAGTTCCAAAAGAAGGCACATAGGCGGATCTGTACATAATGCCTGGCTTCTTTGTTTGAGGAAGTGACTGGGGGTGGTTAAAACTCCATGGGAACTCCAAAAGATTGGGGGACTGGTAGTCTCTCTCTGCCCATTAGACTCTGTCCAGGGTACTACTGGGGGGGGGGAGCCAGTTCCCTGATGTTTTGATGAGGATGGGAGAGCAAGACCAATATAATACTCTGAATTATGTATTTGGGCAAATAAGCACATTATATTATTAGAAGATGGGGGTGGCAATATATAGCCCAAGGGTCAATTGGTGGTCCCAAAGACCATCCTAGAGTGTATCCTGTCACCAGGAAAAAGTAACAAGGTGTGTTTCTACTTGTTGAAGTCTCCAGGAACAGTGGATTTTATTTTAGGGCCATTGGTGGAGTGCTTCCAAGAGTCACTTGGCCAAAGCTCCAAGACACTGTGAATAGCATAGACCAGTGATGGCGAACGTATGGCATGTGTGCCACATCTGGCATGCAGAGCCCTCTCTGTGGGCACGCGAGCCTTAAGTTGCCATTGAGAAATACTTATCCATCCTCCGATCCCGGATTTTGGCACTCCCCTCTGCTGGTCCAGTGGTCCAGTGGAGGGGTGCAATGGTGGCCATTACTGGTCTAACCCAATGGGGGATTGGAGGATTGGTAAGTATTTTTCTGTTAATACTGCCCCTGGGGGAAAAAGAAACCAAGCATTTAAACATTGCATAGCAGGGGCAGTTCTTTTTTCTAAACTAAAAACTCAGAATTCAGGTTTAATTGCAGTGTTGGTGATTTGAAATAAATAAGTCGGTTTTGTAGTTTGGGCACTCAGGCTCAAAAAGGTTCACCATTACTGGCATAGACTATGACCTCCTTAGACTATGGCTGCTTGTCCCCTTCTGACCTATCTGGAATCCTCACAGTAATTGATGGTCAAATGGATTTTCCAGGAGCAATTTATTGTTCCAAGATATCTCTGCTGTAACACCAAGTATTTGATAGAGGCTTGATCTTGAATGGGTGATTAAGAGCTATTAACTTTACAAAACACTTACGTCTCAAGTGTTCTTTTTAAATTAAAAAACAGTTTGTAAAGAATAAACAGTCAGGAAGGCAATACAATGCTGTTTACCTATCTCTGGGTAATGTAGTTAAAGTGTCTACCTCAGGTATGTTTACATTGTCTGTGTATTTGAAGTTAGCTGTGTCTGTTTACTATTAACGGTCTGTTTACCAGCCTGTCTGTTTACCAACCACTCTGTTTACTGATGCATGTGTATTCAAGGAAAATTACTTGTCTCTGTTTACCAGCACTCTGGTTATTCTGTTGTGTATTCAAGAAATTAGTTACCTCTGTATTGATTAACTAGTGCTGTAGTAGGAGAAAGCAATAAAGGAAGAGGAGGCGGGGGAACAAGGGGGTCCCTCTGAACAGCTGTCACGGCATGCTGTGATTCCCATCGTGAAAAAATACACTCGAGTGTCCCGTCTTTTTTTTTCCCCTTGCTGGTCAAGGGGGAGGCTTCATCTGCAGATCCTGAAACAGGCTTCATCTGCAAGACCCCTACTTCCCCTCATCTTGCAGATCCCAACAGTATTTGATAGAGGCTTGATCTTGAATGGGTGATTAAGAGCTATTAACTTTACAAAACACTTACGTCTCAAGTGTTCTTTTTAAATTAAAAAACAGTTTGTAAAGAATAAACAGTCAGGAAGGCAATACAGTAGAACTAGATACATAGTGATGCCACTAACCCAAGAGGTGGGTGGAGAGAGAAAAGGAGGAGTAGGAGAAAAAAAAGGGAAAGGAAAAATTGTGATGAATTTGGTTATGAAAGCTAGAAAGTGATTTACTGATGGAATATGTGGTTATGAAGTTAGCCTAAAAGAATCCATTTTGGTCTCTGTGTGCTTGAAAGTGGAAAATTCCAAAAGGCAGTTTTGCTTCACAGAAATTGGTCAGGCTGACCTGTTATCTTGTTACCCCGTAATGGTGGCCTGGTACAGAGAGAGCAAAGCCTTAACATTCCAGGAGTTTCGAATGATAACAACTTGAGTTCTCATGAGAAGAGGGGGTGGGACAAGTTACTTTTTTTCCTTTCCCCTGATTGGTTGTTAGCTGTGAAGAAGAAGGTGGGAGTAAGTTGCAGAAGGGGGAGAAAGTGAACATGGATGACGGTTGAAAGACACAGAAGGGGCTTATTTCTGTTTGATGGATTTTAGCAGAGGATTTTCCTTATCGGACTGATGGATGTTGGATTTTCCAGAAGATTGGTATGTTCTTGATTGGACTATGGACAATGCATGTAGATTTTTACTGAAATAGAGGGGAAGCTTGCCTTTCCCAATTTTATTAGTTAGAAAGTTTGTTATGTTTGTTTCTTCTAGAGGAGTCCAGTTTCTTACCTAACTGGATGAGATGGAAATGTATATAGATGCCTTGCTTTGCATAAACTTTATCCTTTCAGAACTTTATTTTTCTAATAAAACAAAATATGCTTAATATCTGGATTTTGGCTTCTTGAATAGAACACATGCTACAATTAGTTATTTGGTTTACCTAAATGGTTATTCTTTACAAGGCCACAGAAAAGTAACGCTACCTTGGGTCCAGAATATTCTTGGGTACTAGGAGAATTAGATTCCCTAGAACTCACGTGCATATCTTGGTTCTCAAAGAAATCGGGTCAGACTTGGTGCATGAGTGAAAGGACTGCCCTAGGGTAAAATTGTTGGACCCGGTTTTTGCCTGGTAAAGGAGTCATTCACTCAGAATCCTCTCTGTCCCGTGGTAGAACAGTTTCTTAGGAAACTGGCTTTGCTCACAAAAATATGTACCATAAACTTGTACATAAAGTTCCAGAAATCTAAATAATTATCTACACATAATTGTTGTCTGTAAGCCATGTGTTCATATGTCAGTAACACTGTACATCTGTGTTGTTATTGGAAGTATTTGTCTTTTCAGTCATGTTTTGTTTGTTTAGTCATTAATTCATGTCAGACTCTTTGTGATCCCATGGACCAGAGCACACCAGGCCCTCCTGTCTTCCACGGCCTCCCAGAGTTGGGTAAAATTCATGTTGGTCGCTTTGATGACCCTGTCCAGCCATCTTGTCCTCTGTCGTCCCCTTCTCCTCTTGCCCTCACACTTTCCCAACATCAGGGTCTTTTCCAGAGTCTTCTGTTCTCATGAGATGGCCGAAAGGTTGGAGCCTCAGCTTCAGGATCTGTCCTTCCAGTGACCACTCAGGGTTGATTCACTCATGTAGTATACTATATTTTTCTGTGTATACAACACCCCAATGCATACGGCGACCCCCTAATTTTGCCCCTTGCTGGAGGTGGAGGAGCAGTCAGTGGACAGCTACGAGGGTGGGCACCCACTGACTCTGCCTCCATCTCCTGCTCACGTAGCCGCCTTGTCCTCTGCCTGAAGGGAGCCCGCAAGTGGCGATGGAGGAGGCAATCTGGCAGCCGAGGCAAAGGAGCAGCCATGCTTGGCTGCCTCTCACGGCTGTCCATTGACTGCTGCCTCTGCCATCCAATCACTACCTCCTCCTGCCAGGGCTCACCTCCAGCGCACGTCACCGCCTTCTTCCCTGCCTGAAGGGAGCCTGCGAGTGGCACAAGAGGAGGCAGTTCGGCAGCGGCAGCAGCAGCCAATTGGCAGCAGCAAGAGGCGACTGAGCGAGGCTGCTCCTTTGCCTCCACCTCCGCCTCCTTCTGTGTACAAAACAACCCTCAATTTTCCCTCTATTGATTTTAGGAAATAATGTTGTTTTATACATGGAAAAATACAGTAGGTCTTTTAGCAAGGAAGGGCCCAGAAAATCTGTTCACATCCTTCAATGGTTAATCTCCCAAGAAGTGGGAAAGTAGATAAACATCACAATGATCAGAGGGTGGTCCAAAAGTAAATCGATATAGGTGATGACTTCTCCCTGAAAGGAGCTTATAACAGAACACAGTCGTTCCATGCGTCTAGAAGATGCAGTAGAATGACAACAATTTAGAGGAATAGTTCAGACCCTTCACAAAAAAAGCAATCAGATGTTCAATATACTGTAAACATTTTTTTGCTAGACAAGTTGCATTTTAAGATCCATACATACTTCAGTTATGCTATTTAATGCTCCTTCCATTGATTAGGAAATATAGAAGGATCCATTTCTCCATTCCATACATCCCTAAAATATTTATTAGATGGCAACAAATATAACTTAGGCTTCAGCTTCTTTTTCTGAATTGATTTATAAATATTTCCAAAAGTATAGGAGACTCCAGTGACTCAGTGTTGCTGGATTCAGATATTTAGATATTAGCAAGTGCTTCAGCAGTAAATATTGCCACAGAGAATGGCAAGCGTAAGAATATAAACAAAACTCGTGTTAACTTACTAAGCACAATATCCTACAAGAATTTACTTATGTGGTCTTGTAATCTACTCATGCATGTTATAAAAATAACGGTCATGTATACAGTATGAAAGTTCATAATATGCAAACCACATTGAGATATAAACAGCCACAGGGAAGCCAGAAAAAATTATAATGTATGCAATTCCTATATTGATAAATACAAATCTACTGGGAAGCCTAGAAAATTGTATATGAGGAATGCTAAATTCATTAATAGAAGTGCTTAATTCATATAGTTCATATCTCACTGTGCTTGAAGTTTTCTTGAGAGATTTTTAATTCTCACCACTTTTCTTCAGAATCTAATTTTGCTTTGGTAACAAACTGTTCACATTTCTGGATAACGAATAGTCAAAGTTCATTATCAAGTTCGTTATTGTTGCTGCTGACTAAGCAGTATGCACTTGGTTTCCATCTTCTTTATCAAAGCGCCAGGACTCAGTATTGCCAGCAAGGAATCTAACATTTAATGCGCATTGGCATCTCATGCACCTTCAATAAAGTACTTAATTCAAATCATTGCTATTGTTATTATATACTCACAAACTGTGGTCCAAGCAAGCTTCCCAGGAAGAAAAATAATCTTTCCGATAACCAGTTTACACCTCTCTTCAATTGTTTTTACTAAAGAGAGTTTTTAGGAGAGAGATAAGGGGATGATAGACCAACAAGGAACATACTCAGTGACTGGGATAAAATAGAAGGTAGAAACAGTAAACTGAAGAACTTTATAGAGGAGATGCAAAGATGGCAGGTGCCTTTGAAGAAGAATCCACTGATGAAGAGCCTGAAATTTTACAAATTGAAGTGAAAGGTATCTCTCAAATCACTTGGAAGAAATAAATCACTGAAGGTAGATTAGATATGAGTAGAAATACAGTATTCCAAGCTACAGAGACTAAATCTGTCAAAATTCTGACAAAATTAGGTCAATATATATGGACAACAGAACCATGGCTTCCAGATTGGAAATGCTGAGTATACATCCCAGTCCCCAAAAACTGTAGGACCAATTGCATTAATTGCTTAAGCAACAAAAATGTTTACGATATTTGGAGTGAGAAATGTCTAATGATCAGGCTAGATTCAGAAAATATAACCAAATATTTTCAGAAGTCACTTATGATCACTCTGTGGATAATGAAAGCTGTTGACTTTTCTGGAGATGCCAAGAGCAGGCAGAACTTGCTAGAAAGAACAATAATGTTAGGAAAAGTTCAAAGTATCATGAAACAAGGAACACCAAATTAGGAGGTGACTGATATAGTAAAGGAAGCCGCGGCTTGAGTTCGCAAGAGCTGCACTGAGTAAATGATGGATTCTGGCAGTCAGTCATTTATATGCCTGCCAGAACAACAATCTCCAAATGACCATAACCTGTTCTTCAGCCCTTTACATAATGTATTAATTTACATTAGTATGCATTCCAAGCTGTAGTTGCAATACTAAATTTACACACAAGCCTGAATAAACTACATTTAAGGCCACCGATTATAAGAGTCTCTCAATGCAAAAACAGAACCCAAAAACTTGAACCTCAGAGCATAAATTGAACTTGGTACAACATAGGATTCTTCTTCGTGGTCTCTGTGAATGTACACTAATGGGTTTAGTGTGCCTGCGCAGAGAAACCTCAGAATTTTCCAGAGCTTAAGCACATGGTGCCGGGAATTCCCACACAACCCTTAACCCCACCCTGATACTGAATGCCTCCGTTCCATTTTTGTCACCGCTGCATCAGCACCTCGGCTTAGGAGCTTACCTTCTTCCATTCGAAAAAAACCCAAAACGAACTTAAACGTACCTTTAGACTTCCTGGACTTCAGACACGGACTGTTGACCTTGCGTTTTCGTCTCTTAGTTCAGCAAAAAGCATAAAACTAAACTGTATTTCTTTATTTCACTGTGTTTTCATATTTTTGGTTTATGGCCACTTCAGACCTTTTCAAGCAGTGTGAAATCTGCTGGAACAAAATAACTCTTGTGGATGGTCACTCTCACGGCCTGTTTTGTTTGGGCGAAGAGCATCAACCGGCCCTTTGTGTGGCTTGTAAAAAGTTTATGAAGCTGGCACTTAAACTAAGGCTTCAGCGTCTTAACTCCTTTTTGTAGGAGACGTCTGCCCCTCCTGGGAGCCATCTATGAAGCCTCCTCAGGCTTGCCCCTCAGAGCTTTCTCCAGGTTTGACCCCTTCGCCAAAGGCATCTAAAATGGTGTCTTTCTTGGGCTCAAGGTTGATGCTCCAGCATCGATACCGAAGCCACCCATGGGGTTGATGTCAAAGAAGAAGAAAAAGCCTTTGGCCTCTCAGAAGCCCTCGCGGGCAGTGGACAAGTCCACACCATTGTCTCTGGCTTCCATTTGACCCCAACATGACTCTGTATGTCGGGAAATGAGGAGATTCCTCCCTCAAGGCCGGTTGCCACACCATCCCCACAATTCAGTCAGTCTTCGGACTGGGGGGATACCTCAGCTGAGATGATACAACTGGCACAGGCTAACCCTTGTTCTCATCTGGGCTCAGCTTCGGGACATGTGTTGATGTCACCGTGTCATGAGTGGCATAGGACTGGCTTATCGGACTCTGCTGTTGTAACCCCCAGGAACATGACACACGGCCAGAATTGATGCCGCCCGATGTTCCTAGAAAGAGGAAACAGAAAACTCATCACCTAGAGCCACTGGCCGAGCCTGGGGCTTATCAGGCTATTCCTCCTGATAACTACTATAGGCATCATGGCTTGAAGAGGTTTCAGCGTCACAGACATCCTTATTATTATGAGGTTGAGGCCTTCGAGCCTGATACTCAGCTGTATGCGACATCTTACAAGCTCGAACCATACTACTGGTGTC